CAACAATAACAATAATAATGATAATATAAGAAGAAATACTCGTCACCATTAAAATTAATTTACTAAGCAACTGTCAGGTAAAATCCATAGTGTAGCTATTCAATGAATATGGATTAGATGGGATGTGAAGCCCAATGCACAGCTGGGAGCACAGAAGACAGTAAGAGCACCTAGTATGCCTGCCCTACTGCTTCCATGTATGCCTTAAAAATAAATGCTAAGGTGCCCTGACCTGGATAGCAAGAAACAGGGAGGAGAATAGCTGGAACCAAGAACCACAAGGGTAAGAAAGAAGCCTGATAAAGAGTGAATATTAAAAACCTAGTGTATACTTATTATATAAAAAAATGCACGTATTTATTAGAAAGAAAAAAACATCTAAGGACCCAATGAAAGCCTTGTTACAAAGTACAAGTGACCTGAACACAAGGACCAATACAAGTGACCTGATGCGTTTCCACCCCTTGGGGACCTTCTTCAGAGGTCAAACAATTTGAGGAACAGATAGACATATGTTTCAATGTTATATGTTATAATAAAATAATAATCAATACGTGAATATTGGACCAAAAAAAAAAGGAAAGTTCAGGAGCAAGGTTAATAGACACGAGACAAAGATGTTTATGAAGCCTCTTAAAATGGGAGTCATGTTTCTGGCACCAAATGCACAGCTATTAAATTAGAATATCTTCCAGTTCTGGTCCAGAAAATACCTACGTGACTATCTAATCAGAGCTGGACTGTCCTCAACAAGTAGCCTGATCTTGTCAGATCTCAGAAGCTAAGCAGGGCCAACCCTGGCAAGTATTTGGATGGGAGACCTCCAAAGAATACCACTGCTGGGAGGCAGATGCAGGCTATCAGGCCACTGCACTGAACATCCTCCATGCCCCAGTAGGAGTTGCCAGAGGTTGCCATGACTTCCAGGCATGAACACTCACACACAGACAGAAATGTAAAAATACGGAAGGAAGGAAGGAAGGAAGGAAGGAAGGAAGGAAGGAAGGAAGGAAGGAGGGAAGGAAGGAGCTAAGGCAAGTGCCACATGGTGTATGTAGGCTCAATTTGCATGGCCATTTCCAATATAGAACCTGGGAATTGAGGA